CACTAGGCAGACCAGGCTGGCCTCAAAGTAATAGAGATCTATGTGCTTTTGTCTCTTAAGTGTTAGGGGATTAGAGGTGTGAGCCAACATTCCCTGTGATTTATTTTTGACTGTGTGCTGTGTGTGTGTGTGAGAGAGAGAGAGAGAGAGAGAGAGAGAGAGAGAGAGAGTGCAGCCTGGTGTGAGTGCAGGAAAATGAATTCACGTCCTCTGCAGGAGTATCCTCAACTATCCATAACACTTAATATTTGCTTATAGGCAGAATTCTAAGATAGCCCTTAAGAGTCCTGCCCCAAGTATAAATGGCCTGTCTGATCTGTATGTACCTTTCGAGTGAGAGTGGAATGGGATGCCTTGGTGGGATAATCGCTATTTGGGTGAGACAGCATCATATGACAAGGCGATGAAGAAGTTATTACTGTGATTTGACATAAGCTCCGTGTCCCAGGCCACAGAGGGATTTTTCTGCTGTCTGCTAGTAGGAAGCAGCCTGCTATGCTGTGAAAAGGACAAACTTTTTTTTTTCTTTTTTGGCTTTTGGAGACAGGGTTTCTCTGTGTAGCCTTGGCTCTCTTGGACTCCCTTTGTAGACCAGGCTGGTCTAAAACTCATAAAGATCTGCCTGCCTCTGCCTCCCTGAGTGCTGGGATTACAGGCTCTACCACCACCACACCTGGCTTTTTTCTTAAATGTAGCCATCACAGTAAAAATGTGTAGAGGAGCTTATACTGCCATATAAGTAAATAAAGGAGGGAAAGAAAGAAAGAGAAAGAGAGAGAGAGAAAGAGAGAGAGAGATCAATCTTATACTTCCCCAATCTATTCCAAGGGCATGCCAGCAAGCATCCAAAGACTTATTAGGCCTGCCTCTTCATTTCTTCCACTTCCCCATACCATCACAGATTGAGCCTTCAATCACAACACACCCCAGGAAACACTAAAGCCATAGAGATAATTGCCATGCTCATCACCCTGATTTGATCACCAATCAAAGTATCATTGTGTTACATAACTGTGTATGATGATTGTATATCAAGAAAAAAATTACAAAGTAAAATATACCAAATAAGCATTAACAGACTCATAAATTCTAAACATAAGATTAACAATAGTCATAATAAAATCTCAAATTAATAACCATGATATGTGGAATACTTCATATCTCATCTAGTGATGTAGGCATCCAATTTAACTCATTTTCAAATGGCTAGACTATTTGTGGAATAGTCTATTTCTTTCTACATTGATCCACAGAGTATCTTTGTCATCAATAGATTTCTTTACATAGAGATGATTTACCCTTGTCCTTTTGTTTATCTTCGCATGTCACTTCTAAAATGTCTATTATAATGCCAACACATGCTTGGTATCTACTTCAAAAGTAGATACCAAAAGTAGTGTGTGCATGTGTGCTGTGCTGAAGTCAGTCTAGGTACTGTTCCTCCAGAGCCACACACTGTTGGGAACCAGGCTGAGTCAAGGCTTTCTCAGAGGCCCCATTAAAGAAGAAAGGGAATACTAATTCTGTGTTTTTGCCTAGGGTGAGCCTTGGCAGGTTCCATCTGGGGCCAGGGCCTCCAAAAAGTTAAGGTTGCAGTTTGTGAGGACCTGACCTTTTCCCCCTGAAGAGACTGGAGTTATGAGCCCCAGGTCAGTGTGTTTAGCCTTGTGGCACATGTGAACTAGTCTGTGTTCCCAGTTATCAGTGACATTCACAGCTATATCCACACAGAGTAGTTCATATGTGCCACAGACCAAGCACACCCTGATCAGGGGCTCATAACTCCAGTCTCCTCAGGGGGGAGAATTCAGGTTCTCACTAGATTAGAACAAAGGAACACAAAGTTAATCATTGCCTGATTAACTTTCTGCTAACTTTGTCCTATTGTATGATAACTTTCTCTGTTTCATGCCTTCCCTGCAAACACTATATAAGATGCTGTACTTCTTAATAAACTTCCTTGGTACAAGGCATAACTTTATGCAAAACTTCCTAACCCAAACTTTCCTGTCTTCTTCATTTCTGATTCCCTGTCAGTGAAGAACAACCTGATATATATTTTTTTAATCTTGTTGTTGTTGCTTTTTTTTTTTTTTTTTAGACAGGGTCTCTCACTGGTACTTGGAACTCACTGGTTGTTATGCTGGCTGGCCAGAAAGTCCAAGGGATCAGTATCTTCTTCACTTTTAGTGCTGGGTTATATAAGCATCTACTACGGCATACATTTTTTTTTTTTTTTTTTTAATGTGGGTGCTGGGGATCAAGCTCAGGCCCTCTTTCTTGCATGGCTGTAGAGGAATTTTAATTCAGAAAATGGCTTTTCTGGCAACAGATCACATCCAAAGACCTTCTGTTGTTTTGTGATCTGGCTAGAATACAGACACACCTTTAATCCCAGAGGACATAGGCAAGCAGATCTCTGAGTTCAAGGCCAGCCTGGTACAGAGCAAATTTCAGGTAAACCAAAGCTTAGGTCCCGGCCTGGTGGTGTACACCTTTAATCAGCACTCCGGAGACGGAGGCATGCAGATCTGTGTTCTAGTTAGTTCTGTTCTGGTAGGTCAGTTGAATCAGTGAGTTTCGAGGCAGTGCAGTAGAGGTGAGTTCATGGCAGTTCAGTTCCTGGAGTTCAGAGGCAGTTTCTACTGGGAGAGTTTTACAGAAACAGGTTGAAGAGAGAACAAGCTAGAGACAGGTGAAGACAGAACGAACCAGAGAATGAGAAAGAGCCAGAAGATTAGAACAGATTGCTGGAGAAGCCAGTTTGAATCAGTCAGCGTAGGGAAGAGTTTTGAGCCAGGCAGCTGAGCTCAATCTTCCAGCCAGAGTTCAGAAAGAGCTAGAGTGTGAGCTTATTCAGCAGTAAGTCTCAAAGGCTGAAAACATTCTAGGCCTAGATAAGATTTTACGGAGACTTCCAGGACTAGGCGTAGGTTAGGAGGCAATAAACCTCAGAGACAACAATTACATCAGGCAAATAAACATTTCTTTAATACATGGTAAGAACTTTACCTCAGGACATCGAGGTCTCTCTCCAGCTGCACTAATAGTCATTAAAGCCAACACAAGAGCCCCAGTTATGTTACAAACTCAGCTACACCCACTGAGCACTAAATGAACATATTTACAAATCTGTTGTGCTCTTTTAACTTGGCATGTCTTTCATTTTCCTCAGTCAGCAATTCAGCAATCCATTGTACTAGTAAATAACCATTTGCTGACCATACATGAAACACCAGTCACTCATCTGTCACCAGGGTATAAATGTAGGAGGCATGGTGTAGTCCAAGACTTGATGCATATACCATTCAGACACTGATCTCCGTCAGATATTGATGGTTTATTGAATGCAAACCCAAAACTGACCATGATCAGGGCCAAAGAAAGGACTTGGGAGCCTAACTGTGACTGAGTTGTTCTCAGAGTGAGATTTTTTAAAGAAAAAACAAAAACCACAATCAAGTAGGAAGAATCAATTCTATTCCAGGCATATTTTGCCTAGGTAGCTAGACAAAGCATTTCAGCTTACCTTTAAGCTGATTGGATAGAATGGAAACTTGAGGAATTTCCAGTTCCCTTTCTAGGGGGGGCCTTGGGGATTTTTCAGTTCCCTACCATTCCCATGAGAAAGGAACATAGCAGGGTATTGCGGTTTAACTCAATCAGAACATAAATTTATCATTAATTCAAGCAGAACATATATCTATCATCTGTTATTGTTCTATTCAAAGCAGCAAGCATTGAATTGAAGTAGCAAGTATTGAACTGTGCATAGGAAAGACAAAATGGCTGTTCTTATGTTAGGCAGTAAGCCCTGGATATGTCTCAATGCTGGTGGGCCTCAACAGGCACGTTTTATTAAGAACTCATTTCTGTCTGTGAGTTTTGGAGGCGGGGTATGAGAGTAAGAGGGGTAAAGTGAAAGGGTGAGGAAGGGGGCGAGGGAAAGAGAGCAGGTTTTGGTAGTGAGATTGTTACTGGGTAGGTGGTTAGATGTGAAGTGACTGGAAAAGTGGGGCTGTTTCTCTGTAGCACTGTCCCCACCAGGTCAGGTGGCCCTTTGCACAGCACAGCTCGGTTGTTCTAAGGCACCTCCCCAGTTACCACACACATACACTAACAAAAAGCCTGCATGCTCAAAAGACCCTTACTTCATTAAAATTATGCTCACATGGCGTTTTTTTGTTCCTTGACACACCTGTTTGTAGCCTCATCTAGAGTTCAATGGAAGAAATAAGGAGAAAAAGGGAGAGCTGATCCTTCATGACTTGGGAGGGGAAATGGGTCATCTTAGCCACAGAATGCTACCCATCTTCTAAGTATTTATAAAATGCTCTTAAAATCCACAACACTGAAACCTGGGGACTGCTCCCCGTTTCTTCCTTCAGGGCATCCCACTCTTTGGTGTATACGCTTTGCTTTGCCAAATAAACTGCTTCAACTCTTCCATCTCTTGATTCAATTCTCTATTTCGAAAAGGTAAGAATCAAGAGATCCCCACCCCGATACCAGTGTTGTTTTTTCAATCTAGTGAAAAAAATAAGAAAATGCATATATGTTAACAGCTGAGTTATACATGAATAAAGACTGAAGAATGGGCTGGCTAGAGGGCACAGCGGGTACAGGCCTTAGCCGCCAAGCCTGACGACAGAGTTCGATTCCCGGTTCCTCATGTTATCCTCTGACCTCCACACATAACGGTGTGGGTTGCGCTGAACACAGCTTCGGGCCTCGTGGATGCTCGCGGACGCGAGTGGGAACAGCTTTTGGACCCTACGCAGCAAGAAGGAAGAGCAAGGCTGGTTTCGGACTGCCCTACCGCAGACCTGCCCGCGCGGCCCTCAACACCTGGCAGGACCGGGACTCAGGCCGCGTGACGTCAACAGCACGAGCCGCACGGGCTCCGGACCTGCGCCTGCGCACTCCGCCCCTCGCCGCTCTGCTAGGGGAGGCCGCCTTCCCGCCGCCCGTCACTTCCGGTGACGCGGCGCGTCGGCGCGCCGTCACTTCCTGCCGCTACCGGTGTGGACGGTGGGTGGTAGCGGGCCGGCTCTCCGGCGCTCCCCTCCCCTCCTCCCTCCCTCCCTGTCCCTCCCTCGGCGGCCGAGCGTCGCGGGGAGTCCCGACGCGGCGTCAGCGTGAGTGCGGGGCCCTGAAGCAGCCCGAGACGCCGCGGCTGCGAAGAACCACGACCGCGACCCCCGGTCCCCGCTCCGCGTCACCGCGCTCGCCGCCGCCATGGCCATGAGGCAGACGCCGCTCACTTGCTCGGGCCACACGCGGCCCGTGGTGGATTTGGCCTTCAGCGGCATCACGCCCTACGGCTACTTTCTGATCAGCGCTTGCAAAGGTGAGCCGAGCCGGCGACGGCCGCGGCCCCCGGGCGCCGAGGGTGGGTGGATCGCAGCAGCCAGTTATAGCGAGGGTGCGCTGTTGGAGCAGAGTTGCCTGCTCGCCGCCGGCCACCGGGCTTTATGTGCTTCTACACGCAGAACTCCACCGCGGTACCCAAGGAAGGAGAAACTAGGCCAGGCCGGGAGGAGTGCCTTTTATGTCTTCTCGCTCTTCTCGTTGCATCATCCTTTGTGGTGTGAGACCCATTTTTCAGAGGAAAATGTACTTTAGGTTGATTTGGCTCAAAGGAATAACCGCCTGTCTAGATCGTTTTGACACATGTTAGTGGCATCCAGCCTTACAGCTTTTTAAAAAAGTTTTTATTCATGTGTGTTGCCCATGTGCATGCTTGTATATGTGTGAGGGCGTGGCAAAGGAGGTTAGAAGAGGGCGTCAGACTCCCTAGAGCTGGAGTTTTAGGCAGCGGTCGGCCTCCGGGTGGGTGCTGGGAATCGGAATCAGGTCCTCTGGAAGACCATCTCCCAGCTCTTTACAGTTGTTTTGTTTCGCAAGTTTGCAAAGATAAGGGAGGCCTCTCATCCGGTCCCAGAACCCCTTGCTTCCCAGGAAGAGTGAAATTCCTCAGTGCTTGCTGAGAGTAAGTGGGTTAGAACGACACCTTTCCAGTTTGCTGCTCAGCATTTGATATTATTGTTGCGGACTTCTAAATCACATGTGTCTTAATATGTTTTCTAGATGGCAAACCTATGCTCCGCCAGGGAGATACAGGAGACTGGATTGGAACATTTTTGGGTCATAAAGGTGCTGTTTGGGGTGCAACATTGAATAAGGATGCCACCAAAGCTGCTACAGCAGCTGCAGATTTCACAGCGTAAGTGTAACAGAAAGGGCTACCTTTTTTCTGAACTGTGTGATGACATTATCAGAGTCTTCATAGTCAATTAGGCATAAAGATCTGACTCAACTGGTGCCATAGAGAATATGTGGTGTTTGATCTCACCAAGGTTCTGTCCTGGTTCCCTGAATATCCCTGTCTTCACTGAGTCCCCAAACTTGAGATGTTTAAATGACTTACTCTCTGATTGAGCCCAGGAATCTTGGTGATTATTATTATGCAGCTCCGATAATGGATGTTGGTGATGTCCTTTACAGACATTTCTCTAAATTTACTGCTTTATAGTGATGTCCTCAGATACCTTTTCACTCAATTTTTACTAATTGGCTCTAGATACATTTAAAGCTGGGTCTCAAACTTATGTTTTATTTTCTATAGTTGTAAAGATTGCTATCTGAAAGATTTTCCTTAGGTCTTCGTTATCATCAGTTTTTGATGCTACCAATAGTCTCTTGTGTTTTCCACAGCCCAGGTTCAGTCTCATCTTAGCTCTGAACTGCTGGGGACTTTCTTCGTCTTTGTTATTTATATTTGTAGTGCTGTCATGTGTGTTCTTAAATCAGTTAAATCATGCCACTTCTTGTCTGAGGATTTGCTCTTTACAATGTCACATCATCACCTTAGTGTATAAGATCATAGTCAGGAGAGCTTTTAAAATATTCAAGTGTGGGGGCCCTGGAGAGATGGCTCAGAGGTTAAGGTTCCTCCAAAGGTCCTGAGTTCAAGTCCCAGCAACCTCATGGGGATCAGAGCCATCTATTATGAGATCTGGTACTCTCTTCTGGCATGTAGGCAGAATACTGAATAAATAATAATAAATGATCCTTAAAAATATTCAATTGTTCTCAGTCTGGTTGGTCTTGGGATGAAGTCCTGTCTTTTTGCTCAGATAATGTTTCTCTGCGTGATTTGCAGCCTTCAAACCACTGTGGTAATGGATAAATTAGCTCATTCCAGTTAACTTTGTCTTTTGGTACAGTATGAGGTGAACTAAACCATTGCCATGGTTTACCTTTTTTTTTTTTTTTACTTTGAGTTTTGCATATATTATCAAACTGATTTAAAATAATTCTCTTTGCTGTTTTGAGGTATGTTTCTCAAAAGAGAATGTTTTATATAATTTTGGTGTACAGTTACTGACCTGTGTTTGTAGTTACCTCTCTGTTTTTAAACTAAAGAAGGCAACTAAATTTACCATATGTGTGCAGGCATGTGCACACCATAGTGGGTGTATGGAGGAGGTCAGAAGACAGCTTGGGGCATGGGTTCTGGGATCTGATTTAGGTTGTCAGGCTTGTACTTTTGCCTACCAAGCATCTAGTTGGCCCAAAGACAGTGTTAAGAGCTGCTGTATGTGATGGTAGACCAGAGAGCCTGGAGAGTGAAAATGGTCTTATTGATTTCTTGTTTAAAAGAATTTAATACTTAGGGGCAATTGTAAATGTGTTGCCACCTTTGATTTAAGCAAATTAAAAACAAATGGTTGCTGGATGTAGTGGCACACACCTCTTTAATCCCAGCACGTGGGAGGTGAGGCAGCAGGAACTCAAGTTAGAGACCAGCCTGGGGACTTACCAGCTCCAAGCCAGGACTTGGTAGAGAAATCCTGCCAAAAATCAAAGAAGACAGAAAGAAGTATGGTTAATTACTGAAATAGACAATCAGGTAGAGATTAGCATTTGAAATAAGGATGCAAAGAACTTTGAGCACACAGATATGAGCAGGGCTGTGGGAGCTGAAGAAAATGCATGGCTTATCTGTGAAGAATGGGTCATAGTTCTAACCTTGGGGGCTAGAATCAGAAAAAACAGTAAAGGTAGGTTGGGGCAGAGTTAAATTAGAAGAGAAGAGACTGCACTGGTTATAACTCTTATGTTATGTGTTAGATACTGTATCACAGTCCCCATTTCTTAGGTTGTAAATCTTACTATGCTATTCATGCAGAATGTTTTGTGTGCTTGTAGTTTTGCTTACTCCTTGAGACCTCTGGCTCTGTTTGGAATCTCTGGACTTTTTGCATCCTAGGTTGTGTGTATACATTCATGGCCTTATGTAATTGGGGTGGAGTAATGGTTGTTTGCTTGTATTTTATTTCTTCTTTTGTCTGTGTATTAAGAAAGGTCTCACTGTGTAGTTAAGGCTGACCTAAGCTCAGAATCTTCCTGCCTCTGCACCATAAAATGAGTATAGGGATTATATCCACCAACACCTACCCTCCCACCACCTTGATTTATATTTTATCCTATCTGTATCAAAGTCTAACATTGTAAAATTTTAAAGTAGTTAAATTCAGAGAAGTTCTTTATATTTTGCTCTGGCATATGACTAGATAAAAAGATGACTTGATGAATTAAATACTCTGCAGGCTTCGTTAAAAAAAATACTTGTAAGCTAAAAATTAGACTGGGTTAGTTTGTGATTCTTGCACTAATTATTAATGTCAAAGAAAATTAAGACTTGTAGAAGTCCTATGGAAAAATTGTCCTTTTCTTTAGGCTCTTGATAAATTAAATATCCTAATAATGAGATATTTAGGAGATATATAATACACTTATAAATGTTATGCATATAATTATTTTGTGTTGATCTAAATTACCATTATATTTAACCTTGTATTAATATTATGTAATATTTGTTTATGTTCACATTTAGCAAAGTGTGGGATGCTGTCTCAGGAGATGAATTGATGACCCTGGCTCATAAGCACATTGTCAAGACTGTGGATTTCACACAGGTGTGAGAAAATGGAATTTTGGCTAGGGATGTAGTTCAGTGTGGTACATTGTTTGCAGAGCACAAAATGAGGCCTGAGTTTATTTGAGATCAAAGAAGTATTACTGGATGCAGAATGGCAATTCCTGTGGTACAGTGCAGTGTAGGCACAGATTGTGTAATTCAAATGTTGATTTCTGTACCCCCATATCTGGTTGCAGTCTTTTTCTGAGAATCTCCTGTCTCAAAGTTATGTAAACACAGCTTCCCAATTGTCCCCTGATATGCCAGTAAAGCAGCTTACAGCCAATCACTGAGTAGGGAAGAGAATAGGGCTGGACTTGCTGCCAGCCAGGGGAGGAGAAGTTAGAGGAGGAAGGAGGGGATTGAGCCATGGGCAGAGGTCCAGGAGACATTAAGAGAGGAGCTGCAGCAGAAAAGACAGAAAGTGCAAGTATCTCTGGGATTTTGGCAAAGAGGAAGCCAGATTAGTTTACAGGATTAAGAATAGAGTAATAATGCCTCAGTATTGTATTGTAAAGTTTATAAACAAAAAATATAATGGAGTCTCAATTATTTGGGTGATAGCTGGGTAAAGAGAGAAATTTGAGAAACAATTTTATAAAAATAAGTTTTACAGTGTAGTATATTTGAGGGAAATTTGAGCTTGGCAATTCTAGGAAGTTCACAGTGTCCTCCAAGAAGTACTCGGCTACAGTTGTATCCTTACTGGTAGTTATATTTAGTTAACTTTTAAAGTGGCTAATCTACTAAAAGTTTTTTGTTTGTTTTTAGGATAGCAATTACTTGTTAACTGGGGGACAGGATAAATTGCTGCGCATATATGACCTGAACAAACCTGAAGCAGGTAGGCACAACATAAAAGTCACTTTGTGATTTCACTTTTCCTTTAAATAACTGGCTAAACACCTATAAAAATTTGAAAGTTAAGGTAATCACCAGAAGGAAGCATGTATTATCTGTTCTTCTTCGTTGCCAGAATCTTAACTTTTCTCAAAATATATCCTGTCAGGCTTTCTTTTTTCTATGTACATTTCATTTTAATGTTGGCTTATTTTATTGCATAACTCATAGCCTTCTGGCAGTGTAAAATGATTGTGGTGATGGTTTTTTATTTCATGGTACAGTTCTGTAGAGGTAATAGAGCAGTGTTGCTAGATTTAGGGTAATGTGTGCTCTGGCCTTCTGGAGAGGATGCTGAGACATCAGTGTGCATGGTAAGGGTTAATGCTATTTAGCAGTGTTGGTTGTTCAAAAGGAACATTCTTTAGGTGAACACAGGATTATTTATGGATTGCAAATTGACACTAAGTTTTAAAAAGTACATTGTAGTTAAGCAGTTACTCTGTAGAGTTACAGTCTATATAGAAAAGCATTTCTAAAGTGGTAGATTGAGCTTATCACCACTGACTACATTATACACTATTTTTCTCTGCCTACTTCATTGTAGGCTTACACTAAAACACCAAGTGTTGTTGCACTTGTCTGACACAGTAAAGGTAGTTCAGGGTTTGGCTGGGTGTTTTTCATCCTCACCTCTCCTAAATCTGTTTTTTGAAGGTTGCTTTTCCAGTGGATCAGCAGTAGAAGAGATAGCCATTAATGGACCTTTGACTGTGTCAGACAGTGTTAAGCACCTCAGGTGCATGTTTTTACCTAATCCTCATAAACTTCTAATGGTCCATTTTGAAGTTGAAGAAATGACATTTCATTCATGTGAATTGCTTATGCTCCTTTAAAATTTCCCTTTTTCCATCTACCCTCTTCCCTGGTGTGTGTGTGTGTGTGTGTGCATTTGTGCGTTTGTTTCTCCCTATTAGTTACTGCCAACAGCAATTTGGACAAAGGTCCAAGAGTTAGCTTAGTACACCCTTGATACCGGGCCAAGGTTTTTGTTTTTGTTTTTTTTTTTTTTAGATAGGGTTTCTGTGTGTAGCCATGGGTATCCTAGACTCTGGACTCACTTTGTAAACCTGGCTGGCCTCAAACTCACAGAACTATGTCTGCCTCTGCCTCCCTGAGTGCTGGGATCACAGGCATGAGCCACCACGCCTGGCTTTTGAGCCATGGTCTTATCCATTAGTAGTAGGTTGTATTTTATAGCCAGTGTAGTAAAATACACTTGAGGGATGTGCCTCAGGTTCCCATAGCAAGGTTCTTTGGTCTGAGGTTCATTGTCATAGAAATGGTTAGTGTTCCATTATAGAAAACCTGAGCATGTCTTATCTGCTAGACATTAAGTTTGAAATGGGTTGGGGTTTGGAAAGTTGTTTTAAAATTAACAGTTGTTTTTATATTGCTTAGTTTAGAAAGCCAGATATTTATTACTCATTTTAAATTGTTTCATTTAAAGAACCTAAAGAAATCAGTGGTCATACTTCGGGAATTAAAAAGGCCCTGTGGTGCAGTGATGATAAGCAGATCCTTTCAGCTGACGATAAGACTGTTCGGTAAGTTAATGTTGAAAAGTCTTTACATGGGTGTTATAAAGACTTTGAGTAGTCATGTAGGAGAATGTGTGTAATTTGAAATTGAAGTCAGTGTAGGGTGCATTGACTTGATACTGTCTATTACTGTTATCACATGGAGAAGAGTTCAGTCATTAACGCTCCTGGTGTGCAGCTGCTCCAAGTGCAGTTAGGGACCACTTGCCTAGGGGACTCATGGAGCCCTCAGACCTTCGTGTGTTAAGAACTGAGGTAGAACAAAACAACGGCTGAGTTTAGTTACCTAGCACTCCTAGTGTGCTATAACATAGTTCTGTTACGTCGTTAGGAAAGTAGGTTGATTTCACCAACAATCCAACAAAGGTTTTCACATTTCATAGGAACTCACAATTCTTTTATAATTTGTAATGGAAATTGCTTTATTACAGTTGTGATCATTTTCTCGTGGATAAAATTGAAGCTTTTCTATGGTTACCAAATAAATATTAATTATCCACTTATTCATTCATCTGTTTATTTGCAGGCTTTGGGATCATGCTACAATGACAGAAGTGAAAGCTCTAAATTTTAATATGTCTGTTAGCAGCATGGAATATATCCCTGAGGGAGAGGTTCTGGTTATTACTTACGGACGATCTATTGCTTTTCATAGTGCAGTAAGGTATGTCTGAGGAATTCCTTCATTTATTTGGGTGGGGGGAGTGGGAAAGTAGCTTATTTTAAAAGTAGGGGCTGGAGAGCTGGCTCAGCTGTTAACGGCTGTGCCTCTTGTGGTGGAGTTCAGTTCCCAGCCCCATCAGCCTTGGTGTCTGGACTCTCCACAGGCATCCACACGTACATGTGCACACACACAAAAAAGTCATCTTTTAAAATATTTGGAAGGCTTGTACCAGAAAGTTGCACGATTCTTTTAAAGGCCGATTGCTACCTGTGCTGTATAACACACAGGGAAGGGTTCCCGTACCTCTTGACGACTGTCTCTTAGGGTTGCACACTTTAATCAGGAGTTAGCTAAATTCCAGCTACCTAGGATATTTATTGGGAAATTTTATATTCTGTCTTTACTAAAGGAACATTGGCATGATGCTATATATTCCTTACTATGTACAAATCACTATGATGCTGTTTGGTTTTTGTTTGTTTGTTTGTTTGTTTTCTATTTTCTAACTAAAGTTTTGGGGCCCTGGAGATAGAGCTCAGTGAGAGTGCTTGTCTAGCATGGATTAAAAACACAGCTTTGAATACCTAGAACCTAAAGAATGAGGGAAGTAGTGTAAACCTAATCATTTCTTTTTCTGGTATGTGTGTGTGTGTCACGCGTGCGTGTACTTGGGTTTTTTCTTCTATACAAGACTACGATGCATATGTCATTTTTTTTTTTTAATTGAAAATGTTCTCCATTAAAACACCTGTTAAAAGTTTTGTTTTGGGAGACAGGGTTTCTGTGTAGCCTTGGCTCTCATGGACTCACCTTGTAGACTAGGCTGGCTTTGAACTCACAGTGATCTGCCTGCCTCTGCCTCCCTGAGTGGTGGGATTACAAGTGTGGTTATGTACCAGTTACTGTTTGAGCACTGTAGCTGATGTGGTGCTTCTTCGTTCTCAGTACTGGAATCCTGTAAAGACAGTGTTGAGTTCAACTGCAGAACTGATTGTACAGTTCTTAGCCTGGCTCTTCAAGGGCTTTTGTAAAGATTAGACCACTTTACTCTCTGACCGTAGTCTTGGGATATGGTCTTGAAGAATACTTCCAGAGTTCAGCTTCACTGAATAGAAGACAGGAAAAGTAACATGGAAGTTGTGAAAATGCAAGGGAGCTCCTATAAATACGGTAAAACTAATAATGCCCAGAAATAGCAGGCTGTGCAGCTGTACCTGCTCATTTTTGGACTATGCATTCCTACTATAGACTGTTGCCTCAGATTTCATTTGGTAGTAGTTGGCCTGTTGAATATTTGAAACAGCAAGTGCTTGACTGTAATGCTAGACACGCCACAGCTAACTTCAGGGTTTTATTTGTTTGTTTGTTTTTGCTTTTTTGAGACAGGGTTTCTCTGTAGCTTTAGCTGTCCTGGATATCTCTGTAGACCAAGCTGGCCTCGAACTCAGACTTGCCTGTCTCTGCCTCCTGAATGCTGGGTGGTATTAAAGTCATAATCCACTATGCCTGGCTATTTATATGTGGCATGTGTTGATTGATGTTCTATTTTGAAATAATTTTCAGGATTGAACTGAAAAGGGGCTGGTAAGGAAACTAACCATAGGTGATTTTTTTTTTTTTTTTTTTTTTTTAATTTTAGGGGAAGCAGTTGTGCATTTGTTTTATTTTTATTTATTATTTATTGCAATTTATTCATTTTCTGTTCTGGCTATAGCCCTCTCCCTTGTTTTCTCCTAGCTCCACCCTCTCTCCCTCTTCTTTCCTTATTTCCCTCCCTCCACACACAGTCCCCTACAACCACTTTGGAAATCAATCTGGTGCTTTCTCAGGAAATTAGGAATAGTGCTACAGTTGTACATTTGTAAGTACTGCTTTCAGTCCAGTTAATCTGTCTTAATGCTGTGAAGTGTATGGCCAAGGCAACTTAACCAAGGAAGCATTTAAATGGAGGCTTTTGGGTCTTGCTTATATTTTCAGAGCATAAGTCCTTGGGCATCATGGCAGGAGGCAGGCAGGCAGGCGTGGCTATAAAGCAGTAGCTGAGAGCTTATGTCTTTACAAGCTGGAGATGTTAGGTGTGCCATGGGCTCTTGAAACCTTAGAGCCCACCCCAGGGACACACCCCTTCAATGGTCCTAATCCTTCCCAAAATAGTCCACTAACTGGGAACTAAGCATTCAAATATAAGCTAGCCTACAGGCTTCATTCTCAACCACCACAGGACCTTTATTCCCTAGTTACAAACAGCTGTTCATAGCAGTTTCATGTGTTGAGGGCCTGAAACCTGAACCCTCAACTATTGAGAAAACATTTAACCTTCCTTTGTATTGTAGTAGTTGCTACTGTGAAGCTATGGAGCTCCCTTTATGGTTTTATTTACTGTTTTCAGTGTTGAGCTGGGCCTTCCATAGGCTAGGCAAGTGCCTGTGTCCCCAGCCTTTGGGTTTTTTGAAGCAGAGTTTCAAGGCTGCCCTTCATTGTGTATCTGGCTGGGTTCCTTTTCCTTAGCTCCTTGAATGCTGGCATGCAGGTGTACACTATTGTGCCTGGCCTATACGGACTTATTTATATTTACTGAAATAATGCATGTTTGTAAAAAAAAAAAATACTTAGTGAAAAAAATTTTTTTCTTTTCAGGAATTCTTTTTTTTTCCTTTTAATCATTACTATTTATTAAACTTTATTATTCACTTTGTATCCCAGCTGTGGCCCCCTCACTTGTCTCCTCCCAATCCCACCCTTCCTCACTCTTCTTTCCCTTCCCCTATATCCCTCCCCCAGTCCACTGATAGGGGAGTTCTGCCTCTCCTTCCCTCTGACCCTAGCCTATCAGGTCTCATTAGGACTGACTGCATCATCTTCCTCTGTGGCCTGGTAAGGCTGCTCTCCTCTCAGGGTGAGGTGATCAGCGAGCCTGCCACTGAGTTCATGCCAGAGACAACACCTGCTCCCCTTACTAGGAACTTGGAGATTGAGCCTATGGACTACATCTGAGCTGGGGTTTTAGGACCTTTCCATGCATGGTCCTTGGTTGGGGTATCAATCTCTGCAGGGTCTCCAGAGTCCAGTTTTTTGGCTCTGTTGCTCTCCTTGTGGAGCTCCTGTCCCTCCAGGTCTTTCTATCTCCTCTTCTTTCATAAGATTCCCTGCCCTCTGCCCAAAGTTTGGCTATAAGTCTCAGCCTCTGCTTCGGTACCTCTAGCAGTGGAGTCTTTCAGAGACCCTCTCTAGTATGCTCTCGTCCTGTCCCCCGTCTTCTGCTTCCAATGTCTATCGCGTTTGTTCTGAATGAGGATTGAACATCTTCCTTCAGCTCTTCCTTGTTCAGCTTTTTTAGGAATATGTATTTTAGTATGCTTATATTATATGTCTAATAACCACATGAGTGAGTATATACCATGTGTGCCTTTCTGCTCTGGATTACTTAACTCAAGATGATCTTTTTAGTTCCCACCATTTGACCCTAAATTTCATGATTTCCTTGTTTTTAAAAGTGAAACAAACACCCCCCTCCAAACAAAACAAAACAAACACCCTAATCTAGCATTAGGATGGAGTTGAGAAATGAGGTGGACTGAAGTCTCATGTAACAGCCAACTTTAATCAGAGCATCAGACAGTTTATATACTCTGAGAGTAAACAAAGGTCACAGGAGTAAAGTTCTCCGAGTTCAAACTGCATGTGGTCACAGGGATAGTTTACACATTTAACTGAGTAACAGCAGCAAGCAATAACAAATAATCTTAAGTAAACTTTCTTACCCTGTGCACTTGGGAGGAGCACGAAAACACACTCTTAAGAATCTAAGAACACGTCCATGTTTTGAGGAACCTGAAGTTAGGCTCTTGTCTTGTTTTCTTGGAGTGTTCTCACGAGGATGTAGAATTCTTCTCACATGACTCCATTTCTGGACCGTGTTCCAGCATGCCAGGGTGTTCCTGCCTGTAAACTTGACCCCAGAGAATGCCTAAAGCAGGGAGGATGTTGACTTGAAGGCCTTTCTGCACTCCATACTGATCCTGACTCAAAAAAACAATAAAAGGTCCCTAATATGTTCTATCAGTCAAGACACTGATGTTCAGGAACTGTCTACTGCTTAGAATGTGAAGGCCTCACTGCCCACTGTCCTGAGATGAAGTCCACGTGGATATAACAATGTATTCAACTTTTTTGCTTGTTACTTTTTTTTTTAAGGTCCATTTACACTTGACTGAATATATATTTAGGAATAATTTTAATGTGGATAGTTACTTAAACAGTACTAAAATTTTTATAAACATTTATGTTTTTGTGGTTTTTCTTTACAGTTTGGAGCCAATTAAATCCTTTGAAGCTCCTGCAACCATCAATTCTGCATCTCTTCATCCTGAGAAGGAGTTTCTTGTTGCAGGTGGAGAAGACTTTAAACTGTATAAGTATGATTACAATAGTGGAGAAGAATTAGGTGAGCCTCTTTCCTTCCCCTTAACTCAGCAGTCAGCTTGTGGGATGCCCTCCCTTTGAGGGGTGTATGTGAAATGACCCTTTCACAGGGCTTGCTGAACACTATTGGAAAACACATATTTACATCACGATTCATAACAGTAGCAAAGTTACAGTTACAGAGCAGCAACAAAAATAATTCTATGGTTGGAGGCCACCACATGAGGAACTGTATTAAAAGGTCTCAGCATTAAGAAGGTTGAGAACCACTGCCTTAAATAATTTACTATCAAAATGTTAAGTTCTAGTAATGAGTATTTTAGGTATTATTCTATGGTGTGTTGAAAGTAAGTTTTCCAAGCTAACTAAAACTTGAAACTCATGCATTCAAAAACAAAAGTTGTTTTTTTTTTTTTTTTTTTTTATCTATTTTGGATAGAAACACAGACCTACAGACAAAATAGACTGAACTCAGTTTCCATTGAACTGAGTTTCATTTTTATGCTAATGTTCTTTTCTGTAGTGCAGTGATTCTTCAGACTTTATTGGGAGGGAAATATCTGTATTTCAAGTCAAATACGAAACATGGGAGAATATTTGTTCATTCTATGGAGAGAGGAGGTACTAAATCTCATTTACCTAGCCTCCGTTCTCTGACTGGAATCTTGAAGAATCTATAGAGGATACTGGGGATTAATGGTTTTTAATTATGATTATAATAATTATCATATATGTTATTGCCTTCCTCTATTTTATATTTTCATTAAGTTAAAATTAATTTATAAAGAAAATGAAATATTCAGCATATTAATATATAAAATGTTATGAGATTTTATATGTTGATAAGTGTTATTTCTTGTGTCTTTCTTGCTATTTCCAGAATAGTTACTTCATAATAGTTCTTAAGAAATAGAAACAAATACATCCTAACTTTATTGTGTGTATATTATGCTAGATAATTCAAAGAACAAGACTTGTAGTACCTACTTTTATGCTTATTTTATGTTTATTTACCAAGTCCAAATGTTTTGCTTTTAGTTGAAAATGTCTTTTTCTGTGTATAAATTGCCACCTTTATTTCTTAAATGTATCTAACTATTCTGTTTTTCCATCCAAAAAACTAACCTAACTAGATTTATAAAGAATAGGAAGCAAACGTTGTTTTGTTTCTTGGGGCAAACTAGTGTGTACTGGGGTTGCGTAAGTCAGTTTTAGCTTGCTTCTCGGCCTGAGAGAGCTGTGGCTAGGCTTGGGGGGCAGAGGGCTCAGCATTTGTAAAACCCAGCCTGTGGTAAGGGGAGGAGGAAATGGACAGCTGTTGAATTTTGGACCTGGCCATTCTCATCCCAGTCTCTGTTCACGTAATGTTTTTGTTTTTGGTTGGTTGGGGATGAGGGTTGAATCCAGGAGTTTTGTGTTATGATAGGTAAATATTCCACCCAAATCTCAAGTCTCCCTACTCTTAGATGCTCTTATTCTCTGACTAGGCAGATAGAGGAAACTCCAGAATAAGTTGATGAGGCATTATTAGATTATATATGGGAGATATTCTTAAGCAAGAGTTTTACTGAAGTATAAAATGTTGGCGTTAGTTTTTTTTAAAAAGCTTTTATTTACATCTCATATCTTTTTCTCTCTTCTCCGTCCCAATCCCTTCCAGTACCCCAACGCCAGGTAGGAGAGAGAAAGGTGGGAGAGGGGCTGCAGTTCCTTCTTAGCTATTTCCTGCTGGTTAGGGTCATTGGGTTCCTTGGAGCCAGTCCAGGCCTCATTTTAGGAGATCTTCAACAACTTCTCTCACAACAGCAACTAGGAGCAAAAAGGGGGAAGCAGGAGCCGCTTTGTTCTTTTTTCCTGCTCCACTCTCTGGGCTCTGGGATTTAGTCTCTCTCCAGAGTCCTCAGATTTAAACTATCTGCAGCTGGCAAAGAGTTCCTCTCAGAGTCTGCATGAGGCAAATAGTCTTCGACTGTGGACCATCTGAATCAGTCCCACATCCCACACCTAGGACCAAAACAAAACTATGTTTGTATCCACAATAAGAAAACCTTCGTGATCTATACATTTCTCATAAAATTTCTTATATTAAAATTTATTTTTCAATTCATACTCTAATTCACTTTATTTTTATTTGGATTTATTACTACGTCAGTGTGTCTGTTTACAGAAGTTATATCAGGAAGCAGAGCAGGGGGAATTCTGTCACTCTACTTTCTTTTTATATATATATATATATATTAATTTATTTATTGTTTTATTAATTACAGTTTATTCACTCTGTATTCCAGCCCCTTTCCCGGTCCTCTCCCAATTTCACCCTCCCTGCCTCTTCTCCCCTGCCCCTCCCCCAGTCCACTGATAGGTAAAGTCCTCTTCTCCTTCCCTCTTACCCTAGCCTATCAATTCTCATCAGGACTGGCTGCATTGTCTTCCTCTGTGGCCTGGTAAGGTTGCACCCCCTCAGGGGCAGGTGTATTGAGCCTGTATCTCAGCATTGTGATATAATTAGGAAACCTAGATAGCCAGCCTGGCTAGGGAATTAAGAGGTAGAGTATGTAAAAGAGCTCCATCTGGTGGCTTTCTCTATACATGGAAGAAATTATTCCTCCAAAAGCAGGTAGTGGGTTCAGGACATAGAAACTGGGATGCAGTTGACCGACCTCAGTTCTAGTCTCTGTGGAATTCAGTCTTTATTGACAGCTACTCAATTCTCAGTGGAATGTCAAACCTTGTTTTCTGTTTTGAAAGACAGTCTGTCAGAACACGGTCAGAAGAATGCTGTATAGTGACTAATACCTGAAGGGACTGTGAGAGGCTTCCAAAAAAAGGCAGAGGGCCTTTTACCTCAAGTGCATTTTGTTTCCTGGATTGTTCTCGGGTGCGATTTTGTGCCTCCTGCTAAATATTTACATTCAACTCATAAGACATGTTTATATTCTTGTTAGTTGTTGGAACATAGCTCTACAGCCTCGTTTGTTGAGAGGATGTGCTGAGTGCTATTCTCAGTGTACCCTGAACCTGGATATGGCCTTCTGCTTTGCTTTATAAACTATAGTATGTACCAGGCAATTGTGTTTAAATTGGTCTGTCCTGAGAAGATTCTGGGAAAGGCTGTTATGTTAATCTTTAGTATCTGCTTATGCCATTTATTTATGTGTTTTTCTGAACTGAAACAACTTTCCTTAGATCATTGCTTTCTTTGTTACATTTGTGTATAAAAGTACATGGAAAGTGAAAAAGGTGTCTACAGCATTAGACTGTAGTAGCCAATTCTTTGAGGTCCTCAGATCCCATGTCCAGCAAAAAAGGTCTGCATCCTCAAGTCTGCCTCTGACATACTGGATAGGAAAGGGCTAATCCTAGGGAAATAGAGACTATCTCCCCAGCAATGTACATAGTGTCTTAGTAAATCAGTCCTTACCCCTAATAATCAGCTTAACATTTATTTAAATCTGATAGCCCTGTTCTTCCTCTTTTTTCAGAATCCTACAAAGGTCACTTTGGTCCCATTCACTGTGTGAGATTTAGTCCTGATGGTGAGCTCTATGCCAGCGGTTCTGAAGATGGGACATTGAGATTGTGGCAAACTGTGGTAGGAAAAACCTATGGCCTGTGGAAATGTGTGCTTCCTGGTAAGGACGTTCAAAGTTACCAAGTTATAATGCATAGATCTTCTGTCATTTATTAATTCTGTTTTATTGTATCTATTTTCGTTAGATTTTGAATTATGTGATAGGGTCAAAGCAAAGTGAAGCCATGGTTCTAATTGAGCAATGTTCTTTATGTGATGAATTGAATGAGCTGAATTCAACTAGTGAGATGGTCCAGTGGTTATACACAAAACTAAAAATAAAACTGGTTAGAAGGCAGTATGAAGAAGTTACAAGAATTTGTAGTATTACTTGATCCGTACCACTGAAACAACAAACAAACAAGTACTTATTATTAATCCCAGAGTGGCTGTAGTGCTAAAAGTGACTTTGAGGTGACTATTTTAGAATCACAGTAACTTCTAAAAGAGGAATTTTCTTGTGTGAGCTCATGGGATCCTGCTGTACTTTCTATGGTCAATCATCACTGCTTTTCTCTTCGCAGAAGAAGACAGTGGTGAACTGGCAAAGCCAAAGATCGGTTTTCCAGAAACAGCAGAGGAGGAACTGGGTAAATACAATTAACTTTTCTAAGAGTCCTGGGGATGTAAAAGTGTATTAAGTGTTTTGGTCAGTAGCAAAAGTAACTTATTAAATGTAAACACATTTGAAGTAAATTATAGGAAGCTTCAACATGAGTATGTAAGCATTAGCTACAGAGTCCCTGGCCTTGTGTGCACTGTGGACACAACTGATGGAATTACTCTCATAAACTCAGGAGACAGGTATTGTTTCAGCAATTCCTTAGGCAGCATATAGTGAGGTAGAGGAGGCTTCCTGCAAAAGTGATGTTTAAACTTGAGGAGACCTAGGGACCAGCAGGGGCTAGTGAGGTTTTGAGGATGCACTGTTGATATAGCGTGCTCATCAGAAAACAGAGGAGAAGTAACAGTGAAGAATGTCACTGTCTAGCTTGAAGAGTAAGGACAAACAAAATGAGAGAGGTGCTGGATCATCCAACATCTTGTTTGCTTTGCTACAACCTTGGAAGTTTTATAAATCAGGACAATGAAAACCTTTGATCTTAAGTGGAGGAGTATCTGTATGTTTAGGAAATGGCCTTGGCCTATAGAAAGAATAAATAAATTCTGGTTTAATAGCCATAGGGTAGGCACTGAGAACAAGGAAGGTGGGCTTGCCAGTCCTTACTGGGAGGATTGGCAAGGTGCATAATGGTTAGATTGGAAGATGGATCTTTGCTCATCTTGTGATTTGGGGTGGTAAGAAAGGGAGAGATGACCACAAACTCTAAGGTTAATCCCCTGCTTGATATTGTTAGAACCTCCCCCTCCTCCACCTCCACCCCCAAGCAGTGTTTAATGGTTATGGTTTTGAATTGCATGGCCTTAAATACTAACATTTGATTACTAAAGGAAAGGGCAGGACTCAACAAAGGCATGATTTTAGTTAAATGCTGATTGGATAAGTCGGAGTCAGTCAAAGCTTATTCTAAAAGGAGAGGGATGGGGGTTAAACCCGTGTGAAGACAGATGAATATGTCTGAGCTCTGCTCAGGGTGCTTGGTGCTGTGAGGCAAGTAGCTTTCTGTTTCCTCATCCTCGCCACAGCATACTTAAAAATACCTTTCTTCTCATTTTCTCTGTGTACAGAAATGTGGGTTTCCTTCTTCCCTGTGTTAAATTGACTATGGTTGTCTTTTAATTGCAGAAGAAATTGCATCAGAGAATTCAGATTCCATCTATCCTTCAACTCCTGAAGTTAAGGCCTGAGCATCAAATGTATGCTGCAGATACCACATATTTCATGGACTAAACAGCAGAGACAAGCATCAGCCTTCAGTTACTCTGCCTGCGGCAAAGAGGGCACAAATATGGGGGAATATGAATTAGCTCCAGTGCACGAACAAAAGTCGGTGTTGCCTGTGAGTGAAAGTAGCTGAGTGTATGAGGTGCGGGCAGGAGGATTATGCTCACGTAGTGCCATAACCTGCTGTTTTGAACGAACAAGCCAATGTACAATTTCCATCCTAAGCCTAAATTATGTTATGGAGAACAAAAATATATTGGCCTATTTTTCTGACTTTTCCCTTAAAGCAGAATGCCTTTTTTTTCCTCTTTGCTTCGTTGTGAAGAAGAGGAAATACATGATAAAGTACCTGGTTTGATCTCTTTCATTGTACACTGACTGCTTCTGAACAGCTAATGTTTTTAGTTATCTAAATAAAATGCCTCTAAAAGTAATTTTGTTTCTTTGAGAAATTCTGATACATTTGAATATTAAAACTGTAAATACCCAGAAAGTTTTCTACATTATACAAACGCAGCCATAGCAGAAGACAATTTGGTTACAGAGTCTCAACTAAACATTTCCTAGTTTTGAAATTTAGTTATTTGCTAGGTGTTCATTTATCTTCTTCCAGATTGATAGAATTGCTTTTGTCTTCTCTTTAAATATGCATGTTAGTTACTAAAAAAAAAAAAGCAATTAGAGCAGAAAAATCATTTGAAACCTCAATTCTTCTGGAAACTACTACTGTATGTAGTAGAATATCTGCTTGTTTGTACAAATGCCCACATGATTTTATGAAACTGGGTTAATCATTAATTTGCAATATTTAAGACATATCAGACTTTTTATCACATCATTTAAGTTTGGGTCATTCAGAAAGCCATCAATCTTTTAATAAATTGGTTGAGTAAATTTGTAGTTTATTTTACAATATGAAGAGAACTAATAATTTGGAAATGTAGATAAACTGAGTGTTAATTTGTTTTCTTATAATTTATCTTTTGAATACCTTTAATACTTGCCTTAGAAGAAAAAGCTAAGTTTTGCCTGGTTTGTGACAGCTGGAAGAAGGCACTACAAGCAGGGCTGGCCTGGGCGAACCAGGGGAAGCATGTCACGGGCAAAGTGCAGTGATGAGCCTCTGGTGTTGGTGTTCCTGTGTCTATGTTAAACATCCCTGGTTCTCTGCTCCGTAGCAGTACTGTTACTGTATGAGATTAGACTGAGAGTCTTACCCTAATAAAATTGACATGCATCTTTTGGAATGGAAGTTGCTTGGTGTTAATGAAATTAATAAATTAAGGGCATTTCTAAGTTTTGTGCCATTCATTTCCTATTGATGCAGCAAGTTTGTAGCTTGAACCAACATGTATATTAATAGATCACAATGTATTAACAGATCACAATGTCCTGAGGTGAAAACATGTCTCACTTGAATAAAATCCAAGGTGCTGGCAAAGCTACATTTTGCCTGCGGTCACCAGGAGAAACTTGCCCTGCCTTCTAGCTGCTAGAAGACATTTGCAGCCCCTGATTTTTCACCTAAACTTGTTTCTCAATTTCTTTAGTGACTGATGGAACCTTAAGTTGAGGAGCTCAGATGAAAAGGTGTGGATGACCCTATGTTCGTGTTCTTATCCCTGCATTTGTGTGCTTGGCCTGGGGCCCTCTCCTAGATCTGTTGTTTGCCTCCTTTCTTTTACCAACCTGACCAAGCAAGCTATCCATGTTCTCCTTGGATATGGTGGTGCCTTCCTGGCTACTCTCCTCTGCTTTTACCTGGTTCTCATCCTTAACATTTACACTGGAGGAAAGGGTTTTGCTTTAGAATTTGAGCATTAAGGAGGTTGGGTTATTTGGTTTGGGCACTGGTAGGTTATTCCTTGACAGCGTGCCCACATGTATGTCAGCATTGAGGTGGGGTTAACTTGGGAGTAAAGGAGTGGGTACTGCAGAGACAGCTTAGTGAAAGGCCTGTGCGGGTGTGAGGGCCCAAGTTTGCTTTCCTGGCAGCCACAGACAAAGTCTGCTGTGTACTTATGCACTTGTGAACATGTGTACGCTCGTGATAGTTACATGTTGGGACATAGGATTACTTGGTCATTGCATCTAAGGTAATTCAATGGGTTTTTATGTTGAGACATGAATATTTTGGCCATGCTTGCTGTTGGAGTTCTTCGTGGGCTGGGTTCCAGTTAAGCTCCAGGTTTGTAGTGTCTGGGTTTGTAGTGTCTGCTTTCCTTTTTTGCAAGGTTGAGTGAAAATAGCATAGTGGTATTATTATGAATATAATCTAGACACACCCAAAATACTTAAGAGTAGCTGTGCATGCACTAAAAGGCAGAGCTGTGTAGGGGAATAAGCCAACTTCTATTTAGAGGAGTAATTGTGTTTCTGACACTACCATCAATAGCTTCTGTTTATCGTGTTCTCAGATATTTATAAGCTGTACAGCTTAGCAAGGCATACTTATTTTGGTCACCCAGTTTGCAGTAAGTAGACTATAATGTTCCTAGGACCTTGTAGTCATGATAGACTTGAAATGTGAATGGGTTGAGCTCATTGGAGCCCCCTCTACCAGATTGCTGTGCAATTCTCAAATTGTGGGTCTCTTGATCTGCATCTCTGGCAGGACTTTGTTGACATGAAAGTGCTTTTGTACATCCAAAAACACCTAGAGTAATTGACTCCTACTAAGACAAACCTGTAGCTGAGACTTTTTCAGCCAGCAGAGATGATTCCACCCACGGATGAGGACAGATTCCATGGCTAGCAGCCCATGCTGAGCCTGGAGTAATCCAGACAAGCCAGGCTCAAAACAAAACACTGCATCACAGAATCTCAGTTTTAGAGAGCCAAGAAGTTGTCGGGATCGCCTCTTACAGATAAGGAAGAGGAAGTTCACAAAAGCCAGTAATGTCCTAAGTCACACATTCAACTATTCCCAGAACTAAGTTCTAAAAAGTCCCTTCTGGACTGGAGAGGTGGCCCAGCAATTAAGATTGCCTGCTCTTCCATAAGGCTCTGGTGTGATTCCCAGCACTTGACTTCCTGTAACTCCTGCTGCGGAGGGTCTTGATCAGGCTTTGGCAGGTACCATACACATATGGTATGCAGGCATAAGTGTGTGCACACAAATGAAAATACTATGTTTTCCAATGAAAGAAACCAAGCCCTTAGATGTAGTGACAGCCCCCACCGTACTCCCAGCAGTGGGGAGTGCGCAGGAGGATCACCCAGGTTTCTGGGCCGGCCACGGTTACAGACTGAAACCCCTGTCTTAAAACAAGAAACCAGGTCTTCCCAGGCTCACGCCTTAGCTGCTCCTTCATTAAGTCCAGACTAGAAATCACAGAGTACGCTAGAGCCTGGATTGTGCCTTGGCTGTCATCTGAGGCTGCAGAGTTCCGCCCATGCAAGAAGGAAGCCTGTCCCGTCGACTCTTCAATCGGCGAAGTAAGCATTTTTAATGGTCTGGGGATTTCTGGGAGCTGGAGCGTGCTCAAGTCACGTGCCTGCCCTGGAGGGACAAGGGAACTGTGGAGTGACGCCCGGCCTTGGCACCACGCCTCTCAGCTGGCTTGGAGAAAAAAGTGAGTCGAGCAAACTAAAGGGGTGTGGTTACGGAGGGGTGTGGCCTAGGTCTGAAGGGGCGTGGCCAGAGGCGGGCGCCCGGCAGGAAGGAGGAAGGCCAGAGTGGAAGGCGCCCTCGCACAGCAGTTGGCTGACAGCGCTTCCCCGCAATGGCCGCGCACTGTCGGGGCACAGAGCTCGGTAAGGGCTGGCGGGTTGCGCTCCCCTTCGCCCGGTCGCGTGCTGGGGTTAGGGGAGGGGGCGATAGGGCGGGCCCCAGCGGCCAGAGACCTGACCCCGGATCGTCCCCGCTGCCGGGCTCTTTGCCGTCTTAACCCTTTAAGCGGAAGCAAGGAAGAGTTAGCTAGTCCTTTCCACCTCGTAGCTCTGCAGCTCTGTGGTCGCGAAAAAACAGAACAAAACAGACAACTATAAAAACCCAGAGAAAGGTCTGACGGAACGCTTGTGCCATGTACTGCCCAAGTCACGTAGCCATACCCAAAGCTGGCTGCGCTGGTGGAAGAGTTGTCACGGCCATGCTAAAAGTGATTTTAGAGGCTTACACTAAGTGTCCCTTTTAAAACCATTTTCCATCTCACTGATACCTCAGATATTTCTGGGAAGAAAAAAAAATAAAAAAATCTGTAATTCAAACGTAGCAGTAACGTGACTGAGCCAAACGCCAATGGTTTAACTTTGTATGATAGTTGGCGTTGTATCCTGGACCACCTTAGTGTGTGATTGGGGTAAATTACTCACTTTGTGCTTACGTGTCGTCATCTGTAAAATAGTTATTAGGAAGGCACTTCTGTGTGAAGGATTCTGAGAGGGGGGATACTTGTAGCCTCTGCACTTAGTGTTGAGTAAGTGATAATAAAAAAGTGCAGAAAGTTCTGTTTGTAGGGACTGATTTTGAGAATTTAGCTCTGAGTGATACACGTGGTTACATTTTCTCTCCAAAGGGACTTGCTCTATGAATAAACAGTGTAGACTCTAAGAAGTGTTTAGACTTTTTTTTTTTTTTTTTTTTTCTGAATCAAAGGAGAACGGTAAGCATGTTGCAGGCAGTGGCCGCCAGGTTCATTTCACTTTAGTCATTGCCCTCCAACAGAGGGCGGCTTACACTTTTTGCCGTGCCTGGAGTGTAAACTTCAGCAGTGATGAAGCATACCCTGGGTTGGAAGGTCCTTGAAGACGGGGACAAAGGGCTGAAGGTGAGGTGTGTCAGTGTCTGTGCGCATGAAGAGGGTGTAGCGTAATTCCCCAAACATTTCTTTTTAAGGTTCTCCTTTCAGGAGATGCAGTTGATGTCCAGGCTGGGGGCTGTTGCACACACCTGAACCCCAGCGTGAGGCATGTGCCAGGCCAGCCTGGACTATATGGGAAGATCTTTTCTCAAAAAGCCATCAAAACACTACCTCTCATTTGTTGAAAAGTAACAGTGTAGAAAGGAACAGTTGTTATTTAGATTAATAACAAATGTAGAGTAATAAATGTGTACTCACATTTGCATTTAAACATTATATTTTTCTTACTATTCTTGTTAAAACCTGGTAGATTACAAGAATCCTTCCTTACCTGCTGTGGCATTAACCCTCGGGAATGACAGCTTTAATCTAAACTGCTAAAGTAAATGAGGCAAATTATATACGTATTAGGGAATATTGTTCTGTATTAATTTCAACATTGCTTTAATTGCTGTTTTTGTGTATTTTGCTAATTGAGGAAGACACCTTAATATTTTTAACGAACACTATAACTTAAAAAAATAAATTAGCTTTATATAAACATTTTTATTGCAAAACTTTTTTAAAATGCAGGCATCACCAGAAAGGTTGTAGAATTCATTAGACATCGTTATTTACAATTTTTTTTTTCCGCTTTTAGTTTTGTGTGAGTTTTGCCTGGACACGGCTGCACACCGTGTGCATGCAACGCCTGTTGAGGCCAGGAGAGGGCATCCAATCCCCTGCGACTGGTGTTTCAGAGGATCTGTGGCTGCCGTGGGGGACTTGAGCTCAGGGTCTCTGGAGGAGCATCAAGTGCTCCTAACTGCTGAAACATCTCATCTTTAATCAAGATTTTAAAAAATTAAATTTATTTATCTACTGTGTGTGTGTGTGTTGGTGCAAGGGGGTGTGCACATTCCACCACTCACCTCTGGGGGTCAGAGCTGGCTCACCTTCCAGCGTTTGCCACCTAGGAGTCAAATTGAGGTGTCCAGTGTGACAGTAAGCGCGTTTACCCACGGAGCCTTGTGGCTGGCCCTGAACTTCTAGCGTGGCACCTGGCTATGTGACAGACATTTTCCAGATAGGGACTGTAAGATGGAGCTCCAGCCATCTTGGTCTGGGAAGTTCTGTAGGCTGAGTGCATTGTTCATTTTCTGGCTCTGTTAGCATGTTCTAAGACTTTTCTGACGTTTCCTTAAAATGTAGGTGCCCAGAAACCATGGTTTTTATTTAGTTCCCCAGGTAACCTAGGTGGACGGAAGGCCTTCACGTGTGGAACGAAGGAATACACCTTAAACTACTTGCTTTTGGGGGGAACTTGTCCGTGCAGCTCAGCCCTGTGTGTGGACAGGAGTTCTGAGTGCCATAGCTTCCTAGTTTTGAATGTCAGTCAAAGGCAGTTTGGTGACTCCTTTTTTTAAGTTTTCACACACTCTTCAGGGTGGTAGACAGTGGCTTTGACTTGGGATTTCTATTGCTGTGATGAAACACCATGAGGGAATACAAGTTGGGGAGGAAAGGGCGTATTTCCCTTCCTGTTCATCGCCGGTGGAAGTTAGGGCAGGAACTCCTATAGGACAGGAGGCAGGAGCCTTGGAGGAGCGCTGCTCACTGGCTTGCTCCTCGTGCCTTGCTCAGCCTGCTTTCTTATAGAACTTAGGACCGCCAGCCCAGGTTGGCTCCACCCACATCGGCCACTAGTTAAGAAAATGTCCCACAGGCCTGTCTACATCCTGATCTTAGGTAGGCATCTTTTTTTTTTTTTTTTTCCAGTTGTGGTTTCCTCCTCTCAGATGACGCTAGTAATGCCAAGCTGGTATAAAGCACACCTTCCCTTCAAAAATGTGTATCTCTGGAGGCATCGGGAAAGTGGGGATTTTGTACCAGGGAACGTTTTAGTAATGTCTGACTTGATGTCACTCTGTTGCTGTGAAGGGAAGAGTTTTGGACAGATCTTAGTTGTGGGGAAATGGGGGCCGTTCTGCAGATACTGTTACTAACAAGACATGGCTATAGCTATGGCTGAGATTCTTCGAAACAAAGACGGACCTTGGTGTAGCACAAAGGAGTGCAAGCAGGAAGCCAGAATAGTTCTGCAAGGCCGCACTCTCTGTAAGAAGATACCCCAGAAGCCAAACCTTGCCAGCAAGCACCCTGGGCAGGAAGTTCACCTGGCTTTTATTCCGCAAAAGTAGTGACTGTGTCTTGTTTCCGTTTGCTGTGGTGCAACTTCATAATCTTTTGAGGTTGGCTTATTATTATTATTATTTTGTTGTTATTTCTAAAGATTTTATTTACTTATTTAATGTATATATATATATGCTCTCTATGCATTTATACCTGCATGCCAGAAGAGGGCATCAGATCCCAGAACAGGTGGTTGTGAGCCACCATGTGGTTGCTGGGAATTGAACTCAGGACCTCTAGAAGAGCAGACAGTGCTCATAACCAGTGAACCATCTCTCCAGCCCACTGGTATTTGTTTTTACATGTATGGGTGTTTTGCTTGAATATATGTCTGCACACCTTGCATATTCCTGGTACCCTTGGGAACTGGAAGAGGTCATCACATCCCCTGGAACTGGAGCTTCAGACACTGTAAGCCACCATGCTGGGAATAGAGCTCAGGCCCTCTGCAAGAACAGCCAGTGCTCTTAACCACTGAGCCCTCTCACCAGCCCAGTACAAAATCTCTTTTAAACAGACTGTAAATGTGATATCTACTCATCTTCCATTCATCTTTTATCTTTGTACATTTATGAAGTTAGATGTATCTAGATTTATTTTGTATTTCTGAGATGGTTAAGATCTATTTTATTTTAATGTGTATGGGTGTTTTGTTTGCATGTGCATTTATGTACCACATGAGTGCCTGGTGCCCTTGGATTACCTGTGTCTGCCGTTACAGACTATTGTAAATTGACATTTGGGTGCTGGGACTCGAACTTAGGTCCTCTGGAAGAGCTTGGGCTCTTACCTGCTGAGCCATCTCTCCAGTCTCTGAAATTACCTTATATATTCCAGTTTGGCCTAGAACTTTTGGTAGTTGAGTCCTAATCTTCCTCCCTCCACCTCCCAAATGCTAGGATTGTAGGGTGCCCGGCTTAGACTCATCAATAAATGAGTTGTGATAACAGGGTGTTCTGGGCGTCTTTTCTTCCTATTTTTATAGGAGCTTGCGTAAGACAAGGGGCGTAGGAAGTGCATTCCTCCCTTCCTATGTCTGGACTCTGGGCTGTTGCATGCACGGTGCTCTCTTTATCTGTTTGGGCTTCTATGCCTTACTCTGGACTTGAGGGTGTCCTGTCCAAATGTGGTGGTTCAAGTGCCCATCTTGTTCACCTTCTTCCCTATCTTTACCCTGGTGGTATAGGACAGTTGTCCAAGGAAGAAAGGGGGGAGGGGCCAGAATGTATTTTTAGAAGATGTGTTCACGTGCACAGAGGTTTGGGGGGTTCTGTACGGAATGCCTGGTACACTGCTGTGTTAACACCTTGCTCCAGGAATGGATCCCAGGGCCATCTGCCTGCTCTTTGCTCTCTCAGAGCACAGGCATCTCAGCCAAGACCCTAAAAGTCACTCAGGAGTTGGGCTAGCATTCGGGAAGCCCTGGATTTAGTTCCAGTACTGTGATTTGATCCCAGTAATCGGAGGTGGAGGCAAGAGGATTAGTGATTTTTAGGCCCGCCAGGGATACATGAAACCCTGTCTTTCAAAACTAAACTGAGCAAAACCAACAAATTGTATTCAAGGGGGTATAGTAAAGAAACTGCCGACATGGCTGCTCCATTCTTAGGGAGAAGGTTTTTATTGTGAATGAGAGAGGGAAGATATCCAGAGCAACTGGAAGAGTCTAGAACAGAGAGAAAGGAAAAAACTGGCCATTGCCAGGGCTGGGGAAGCGGGAGGGAATAATGGAGATAGTGAGAGAGCAAGAGCTAGAGAATAGAGCATGGGACAGAGCAAGAG